TTTAAAAAATGATCTCTGCTTTCAACTCAAAGAAGAAAAAAATCATATTAGGATTTGCATATGTTTCCTTCCCCAAAGCATACCCTCTTCTGTAAATTCAGAGCCTAGACTTAGAATTGGTAACATGTTGTTCATATATGTCAGCCAAGAGTGTTTAAAAAGTGCACAGAAAATGTAGAAAAGGAAAAGATTGGCTCCATGAAGGAATAACCAAATTCCTTTTTAGGTGCTTAAATATCACTGAGGTCAGAGGCTTGGGCATCAATGTATCTTTGTAGATCTGGGTTATAGATCGATTCAGGCTAGCCGTGTTGCTACACTTGCCTGTTGCACAGAACTGTCTGCAAGAAGTGGTCACCAAATTTTAGGATAAAATAACTACTATCATGGCTTACACTGAAGTCTTTATTTATGACTAAATCAGCTAAAGCTTTCCAATGCTTTTTTTCTCTTTTTTTCTAGGGCATTAAGGATTAATTCACTGGCAGGCTTAGGGTACAGGGCACAGTAAGCCAAGAGATTTGACCGTTGGCAGTGACAGCTGTGTCAGAAACTAGTAATACTGCTTGCTAGCCAGTTTGAAGATCGGTGTGAACCATGTTAAAGGAGGAGTTAAAGAACATTCTGGTTTTCAGCATAAGGAAATACTTGCTCCAGTTACTGCATTCATGCATAACCCCTCTTGCAGAAAACTTGTACACAGTTGTACTGAGTTGTTTAAAGTCTTGGGGACATCTTAGCTTCAAGTGAAATGTGGTTTAGGAGAACAGTTGTGAAAAGAATGACCAGGCAAAACAAACATGACAAAAGGCATGCTTTACTGCAATGCCTCCATTATTCAGAGGCAGATGTCTCACCTATCAAATAGGATGTTCTCCTTGTAGCACGGAGAACATAATGTTAACTTCTTACTTTGCAGAAGACCCAAGACGCAGACTCTCCCTCGTAAGGTGTACAATCTAAAGTTTTCATCAAGCTTCCACACTTTTAGAAGTGGATTAGGTTTAAACTTGAAAGCACTTAGCACCAGCCTTTCATATGACAAATCCTTTGACTTCCCCTCTGCTCACCCCACTCCACCAACTGTCCTGCAAAATTTCACTGCCCGTGAGAAGGTAGTGACACCCTCCTTTTACCTGGCAGAACAGTGCAGTGCAGAGCAGTGCAAAAGTCTGAGTAAAATCAGTCTCTGCCAGCGGACTATCATTCTGTCCTACAGGAATCATAAAACACAGTAATGGCAATACTGGCTCAGTGATGAAATTCACAGCATCAGCACCTATGAGAAATCGCTTGAGACCTCCAAGTTTATTTGGCATTTACCAAGAAAAGCCGCTCTTAATTACTATTCATTCATTCTGCATTTGAGACAGTGATCTAAAGATTTAAGGAACACAGAAATTATGCTTTGCTTTGCTGCCACAATGTTTTGGCATTTGAAATGCTGACTGTCTTGATTTAAATGTCATCTGCAATGTGGGTCAAGTGTGAATAAAAGATGCATCTAGGAACTACTTTACGACTTGCGTGCCTCTACTCCTGATATTGCCTGTTGGCAGAAGATGAAAAGCTGGGCTCCCAAAGGTATTAAGAGTAGCCATCTTTCTGGAAAAGAAGATTAAAGCCCAGTCTTCCTCTTCTTGTTCCCCTAAGTTCATATAAAAATTGTAAAAATTTGATCCAAATTAATCAGTGAAGCAAAGAACAAATGCCATCAACTTCAAGTAAGGTTATATAGCAAAGATCTTCTTCAAGACTCTCTAGGGAAAGGCAACAATTGACTAGTCCTCCCTAGTACATTGCCTAACAAAATCCTGTATGCTTTTCTTCTCCAAATAGGCTTCTGGATACCAGAAGGCACTGACTAGGAAGATTGGCTCAACGTTCATACCAGCCGAGAAAGGGAAGCTGCAAGAGCTCTGAACACAAACTGGCTATGCATCCAAAAGCTGAAACACAGTAACTACCAAAACGTTTCATGGAAATGAAACGTGCTGTGGGCTGCTTGAATCCTCCTCTCTTTCATAAAAGATATCACAAGGACTGTAGCTTAAACAACACACTGTAATATCTGATGCTAGCTGGAAATCTGAAATGAAAACCTATTAACTACTTTTTGTATCTGTGCAAACCCACTGACTTCAATTTCTTTCATTTTTCTGACTTCTCTGAAGTTGGCTGGATAGCACTACAAGCAGAATCTGGTTTATTTTCTTTAAATACTTAAACTCATTTCCATCCTGGCCTTCAAAGCTCCCCAAGGTACAATTTGATCTGTTAAAAAAAAAAAAGAGCATCAGCTTTTTTCTTTATTGCTTATTCATGTTTCCCACTTTGCAGTAATTCAAGCATAGTAAACAAACAGCCTCTCTCTTATGTGCTGGTTTGAGTTCCAATTCTGGCAGTTTTGTAAACTGAAGTTTTACACTCCCACTGTAGTTAGGATAACTTCATTCCCTGATGGATACTTAACACATCTAATTACTCTATTTTTGAGCTGCAAGTGCTGTTGAAAAATGTCTCCGTTCTTTCATTCCAGGAGCTTTCCAGCTGCAACATTTTCTACTGAATAAAACATTTTCAGTGACTTTGCCCATAAATAATCCAGCACAAAGACCAATGCAGTCCCAACTGTACATAATAACCCCAGAATTCCACTGAGGATTTTCTAGTGACATCATAATAAACTGCAAGAAAAAGCTGAAGATGTATTAAATTATACTTTGGGCATATTTTATTCTTTTTTACGCATGACAAGAAAACTCAGACATTTGTCACGGCATTTTGAACGTTTTTCTGGACTACTTCAGAACTAGAAGGGACATAATTTCAAAGAAAGACACAGAGGAATATCTCATATTTGTGAGGACAAACTGAATGACTGAATACATCATTATTATTTATTTCGCATGTACAAATTCCTATGTTGATTCTTCACGCTCCGTAGTCAAATGTAAGGCTTTTTAAACTTAAAAAAAATAGATCAGCCTCCCTCAAAACCTTAACATCAATGTTGACAAGCACTGATGCTTGTCATTTTACTCCCCTATAAACTGTGAAGGGGTTCTAATTGGGACTACTGAGCCAAACAGTTGGGTCGTGTCAAAATACCTCTGCAGCACTCCATGATCTCAAAGTCTGTTATTCAGATCTCAAAAGAAAATGGTAACTTGATTTAACTGGTAGTACAACTGTGACAGAGGAATAAATTGATTAGGTGAGTTTAATCTGCTTAACATGTCTCTCTCTCGGAGTGCTTAGCTCTCCAATAGATGAAAGTGTTGAGGCTGTTAGCCCAGGAAGGATAACAACCATGGACACTTCATTTCCAGTTGGGAATAAATAAGGACTGGCAATGCCAGGGCAATTTGGGTCATGGGACACCAACTCCCCTCCTCCTCAGCCGCCCATCACCCAAAGAGCTGGGAGAAAGAGAAAGGGTTTATGAGGTGCAAGAGGATGATCCTAATGGGGAGGGTCAGGAGATAAAAGTGCGCAAAGTGAGGGGTTGCTTCTGCTCTTGGGTCTTGGGTCTGAGCTTCAGCTTCCAATTGCAAATAAAATCAGGTTACTATTGAAGACTTTTACTTGTCCATGTGCTGTTAAAGCCTAGATTGGTTTTAACATGTAGAAAAACCTCGCCTAGATGAAAAGTGCCTTAGTGAGATCGCAGCGATTGGCTGGCATGCAGCAATGCTTGAACCTAACCTGTGAACTCACAGGAAGCTGAGGCTTCCCCCACCCAATCTGCACTGGTGGCTCACCATCTCAGGGGGCATTTCAAAGACATTTGGAAAGAGCTGAACTAGAGACAGTAAGACATTAGGTGATGATACACAGAACTTAGGGACTGGAATCAACAAAGAAAGTGAGAAAACAGAATTTTCCTTAAGGTCAGCATTAAGCCTGACTTGAAGGTCAGGTTCTCGCCTTTCTGGATGAAGAAACACAGCAGAACGTGCCTCTCTTCCTTAAAGCCACTCTATCATTTTTGGAAAGCAAGATTCATGGGAAAGGCTAACTCTGTCATGCACATGTGCTCATGGACTTGCAGCCTCAAGATTAAAAACCTGCTGTGGAAAAACACCCAGCTGGCCCCGGGAGTGCTTGGCTAGCTAATGCTTCACTGAATTTTCTAGTCTCTGCTTTGACTCAAGAGGAAGAATTTGGGGTAGAGGAGGTCACTGGAGCAGTGGGAACAAGGATAAGTCAGCATTTAGTTTGCTGAAGGAAAAAAGACTTGGAGAACAAAAGGGCAGAGGGAGAGGATAGGAGAACTAGAAAGGTTCCTGTGATACAGAGAGATGAGATGATCTAGAAAAAAGGATTGGAAAGTGCGACAGAAAAAGAGTTCACCATAAAAAGAACAGCAGAAGACACGGACATTAATGTTAGGGAGGCCTGAATCAAAAGAACCAATAGACAAAAAAAACCAACAATGTGATCACTTAACATAGTAAGAGAGCACCTGGGTGCAGAAGGAGCAAAGATGATTTATAAATTATTTTTTTTTGTTTGTTGCTATTAACACATCTTTGCCTTGGCAAGAAAAGGTGAATTCAGCTTTGAGCTCCCCAAACACTGAAGAAGCATTGGGCTCCTCCTGATCAAAGTGTCGGAACACAAGTACTGTAGGATGCATTCGAATAGAAAGCATAGCCTGAAAACACACAACAACAATTTATATTCTCCCAGTACTGGTATACTGGTTATCTTAAACTCAAATTCTCCTTTCCAAATATGTATGTGTGCAGACATATGTATGTATATGCAGCACAGAAAAGTATCTGCCAGAGGCCTACAATTTTGATCCTAAATACAAAGTATCTCCAGGAAGACTGGAAGTCTATGGTATATTGTTATATTTTTAGCTTCCAAACTATTTTTCAGGATGATAACACTTTCTCCCTTTTCTCACATTTAAGTAGAGCATTCATATCCCTCTACATGTGTATATATTTTCACCCTCATTTCCCTCAATTCATTCTTCGTCAACTTACTGGATAGAGTTCTCAATGCGTGTGATGGTGAGGAAAGCCGCTAGATTTGCCGTGTAGGAGGAGATGACAATCAAAGCAAAAAGCCACCAAGCCCCCATCATCAGTCGGGTTGCCAGGGTTGTGTATGGAACCTCTCCTCCTGTGGGGAGGAAGAAAAAGCAAGAATTTTCATTTAGCAGAAGGAAACCCAGACCCTCAATTTTCATGCATTGCTCAGGAGAACTAGGCCCCAAGGTCAGCAGGGTAAAGCAATCTATTAAAGCAGGCTGCTTTATTAAAGAGCGCAGAACTTGGAGCCACGCTTTCTATGCAATGAAAAGTACTGAAGGAAGCCCACACTGTCAGCTGTCATGATGGTGTTTCATCTCTTTTGCTATTGTGCCTTTAATTGCAATTCATGTGCCAGTACTGTCCAGTAATGGAAATAGACTTCACCATCTCAGAACAAAACCAGCAAAAGTAAATTCTTACAATATTCTTTTCTCAGAGGTCTTATCTACAAAACTTAATTAAGGTTTTCTTACATTCTTGAGAACATAAAATTAAAAAAACCTCATCAAAACACCATTATTTTTCACAGTTCTGTAGGCAGGCAGATGCTCATGAGAGCCGTATGCATGTGTACAACTTGCTGCAAATGAACTTGGACATGCAAAAAAAAAAATCACATGTATTGAAGAAGAATGCAAAATAATTCTGTATTCCCATAGCTGCTTTTCTTTAAAATTCAACTGTCATGTAAACAAAACATTAGCAGCAACTAAACCTACCAGGATCTGACCTGCACACTACTTGTGCGAATAGAGCCCAGTTTAGCAAGCCACAAAAAAAATTATTTTTTGTTCCAATAGCTGCCCCCAAAACACACTATTTCGGAGTCTTTGAAAGAACTCTTTCGGTTAAGAACATGTAAACCATGGATTTTTAGATGCAGGAAAATTAATTGTTTCAAAAAGATCTATTTTGTCTGCAGTATAATGTTTGTCACAGCTACAAGTAACTAGGGGGGACAGGTGAATGCAGCAGCCACCCACAGTCAGCAGCTCAAGATGTTCACCCATTTCTTCGCCTCCTATACACAGCAATTTGAAAAGTTGCCATTATTTTTGAGGTAGCTTTCTCAGATGCAAAATCTTATAACGACACAGTAGCTGGGATTTTCAAAAGCAGAAGCAGCTTGTTACAGATTCAATCATCTGTAAGTATTTTGTGCTCGATCTTCACTTATGTAAAAACTCCTTCACATTTCCCCAGCAAGTAGGTTTAATGGGAATACCAATTACAATTACTCACATTCCAAGTACAAATAATCTTCAATTACATACACAAACTAGATACTTAATCAATGCTTGAATATGAATCTGAAGGTACACAAATCCATGGGACCTGATGAGGTGCATTCACGGTTCCTGAGGGAACTGATGGATGAAGTTGCTAAGCCACTATCCATCATACCTGAGAAGATGTGGCAGTCTGGTGAAGTTTCCACTGATTACAAAAGGGGAAACATAACCCCCATTTTTAGAAAGGGCAAAAAGGAAGACCTGGGGAACTGCAGGGCAGTCAGTCTCACCTCTGTGCCTGGCAAAATCATAGAGCAAATCCTCCTAGAAACTATGCTAAGACATGTGAAAAATAAGGAGGTGATTGGTGACAACCAGCATGGCTTCACTAAAGGCAAATTGTGCCTGAAAATTTGGGAGCCTTCTATGATGGGGTTACTGCATTGGTGGATAAGGGAAGAGCAACTGATGTCATGTACCTGGACTTGTGCAAAGCATTTGACACTGTCCCACATGACATCCTCGTCTCTAAACTGCAGAGACATGGATTTGACAGATAGACCACTCTGTGGATAAGGAATTGGCTGGATGGTCACACTCAAAGAGCTGTGGTCAACAGCTTGATGTCCAAGTGGAGACCAGTCATGAGAGGCATTCCTCAGGGGTTGTTACTGGGACTGGCGCTGTTTAGCATCTTTGTCGGCAACATGGACAGGGGAATTGAGTGCACCCACAGCAAGTTTGCTGACGACACCAAGCTGTGGTGGATAGAGTGGCTCAAGAGCGGCCCTGAGGAGAAGGACTTGGGCGTACTGGTGGATAAGAAGCTCAACATGAGCCGGCAATGTGCACCTGCAGCCCAGAAAGCCAACCGTATCCTGGGCTGCATCAAGAGAAGCATGGCCAGCAGGTCGAGGGAGGGGATTCTGCCCCTTTACTCCGCTCTTACCCCACCTGGAGTCCTGCGTCCAGCTCTGGAGCCACCAACATAGGAAGGACATGGATGTGCAGGAGCAGGTCCAGAGGAGGGTGACGAAGAAGATCAGAGGGCTGGAGTACCTATCCTATGAGGACAGGCTAACAGAGATGGGACTGTTCAGCCTGGAGAAGAGAAGATTCCAGGGTGACCTTATAGCAGCCTCCCAGTACCTGAAGGGGGCCTACAGGAAGGATGGAGAGAGCCTTTTCACAAGGATGTGTAGTGCTAGGACAAAAGGGATGGCTGTAAACTAAAAGAGGGCAGATCTAGATTAGATATTGGGAAGAAATTCTTCACCATGAGGGTGGTGAAACACTGGAACAGGTTGCCCAGAGAAGCTGTGGATACCCCCTCCCTGGAAGTATTCATGGCCAGGCCGGATGGAGCTCTGAGCAACCTGGTCTAGTGGAAGATGTCCCTGCTCATGGCAGGGAGGTTGGAACCAGATGATCTTTAAGGTCCCTTCCAACCCTTACCATTCTATGATTCTTAATTCACAGTTGTACCTTGTATAGCAGCAGCCAGTTAATGAAGCTTGAGGACAAAGCTTGCATCCAAGCACATGCACAAGAAAGACCTCTCTAAAGAATTCATCACTCCTGCCCCTTCTTTAAAATCCTTGCACTGACGCTTCTTAAACCATCATTTCTAAAGCAGGACTGACACCGCAACTGCATAGGTACATGATTTTTAAGCAGTACAGGCAGGGTATGCCACCTCTCGCAGTGCAAGAAAGGAACAAACAAAAATCAAAGGGGATCTTTTACTGCCATAGTACCATTTCTTTGGCATCTATTAGGAGACTTAATGTGATACAGTCTTGTTCTATTGTACTGTTTGCTAAAACACTTCCCACACCATGACAGCTCACCTTAAGAAACCTCTTCACTCCCTTCCCTCAATTCTGTTTCTAGGGATAAAACTTCCCAGAGTTTTCTTTCAGTCCAAATTTACATGTTTTCTCAGTGCAGAAGAGTACCAGATAATTCAGGAGAGCAACAATCATTGGTTTTCTATTAGTATTACCATGGAAAAGAGCTACAGATCTAACAGTCGCTGTTGTTGACTGCAAATTAGTATGCAGAAGGGACATGCTTGTAAACCTCCCAGGGCTCTGCTTTCCAATATCGAGTATGAGTTTCAGGTGCAAGGACATCTTTATGGATGACAGCGCATTCTAGCTACGAGGGGCTACACACGGGACACACAACGCAAGGGAGGAGGGAACAAGTCTCTCCCTGCTGCATACCAGCAAAGCTTAATAAACCCTAATGGCAAAGGGGACCACCTGGTGCCACATAAACACATGTCGGTGAGCAGAGTATGGTCTATCCTATCACACCTCATTTCTATAGCAAAACTCATCAATGGGAGTTAACATGCTGCTTGTGGTTACACTAAAAACACTACTGTTGCAACACGCTAAGCAACACTTAAAAATACTGAGCTCTACTCATGAAACAAATGGAAATCAAAGACGACATTCAGCAGTCCTGGAGTTGCTTTGTCATCTTAAGAGACAGACCTCATACAAATACAGAGGCTGTATTATTCTGTAGACTTGGCCCTTCCGACACATTGGCAGAAGGGTGTAAGGCAGCACAAAATGCCACTACCTGTATACCACCTATGTTGTGGCTACAACTCCTAGCATAATTCAGCTGACACTTCTGATGTGTGCTGAAAATCATTTAAAAAAACAAACTTGCCTTTAAAATTTTGAGATTGCATGTGCAGGATATTTGCCATAGTAAACTGAACTAGCAAAAAGCAATCTTATTGGGAGTTCTCCGAAAGAGTTGAATTACTGTAGAAGTGACAGTAAAAGAAATTACTTAGTCCTCCCACTCTCATCTAATGCAGCTCTCCTTCATCAATCCTAGACCTGTTTAATGCTGGCCTACTTCAGATGACAGGCTTAGACTGCAACTTATCTTTTGAATTTTTGTTTATTCCCATTTCTTTCCAAGTGCTTCAAGCTAAATATCAGAAGGTAAGAAAAATATCCCATTGTCTTGACAATGCAAACAATATAATGTATAATTGTGACAGACCTAAACATCAGGAAAAACCTACCTTAGGAGATAACATGTAAACGTACACAATTCTTATACAGATTTCTAATACCCTTTAAGTTCTTCTCCCTTGTTAGCAACAAGTTTAAAGGTTTCTTCAAGTCAAAAATCACAAGAGAGTTTTACAGGCAATAAGGAGGAATGAAATAATGAGAAAAATGGGCAAAACAGAAAAACTGAGGATCACAGCCTTGTGAGATCTTGGTATTCTGTAACTCTGGACTAAATCTGAATAATTCAAAAAGCGTAGGCTGTTTCTCCAGACGTCTTGTTCTCATGGATTTGTCAATTTTTTGTCTGAAGAAAAACTGTGTTCTTCTGCATAGTCCAGAACTATGAAATTGTTTCACATAGGAATTGAGAAAAATATTTTTTGTGGACAAAAAGAAAATGGTGAAATGTTTCTTGGAGAAGTTTTAATCACAGTTGGCATTTCTGAGATCAAGCCTGGTGGCAGCCATCTTGCTGAAAAGTGATGAAATTTTTGTTACTAGTCATCCAGGCAGTAAATGTGTGAGATAATTCTCTCTCTGATTTAATATCAATTTAACAACTTCACTGGGAATGCACAATATTTATAAATAAAATTCATCTGTCTAACACCTCAAAAATATTTTTTTTACTATTACTAAAGCTAATAGCTTGGCAGCATAGAGCCTGCAATGTTGAGAAAACTTGTAATTGATTATTGAGAACAATAATGCCTTTTGAATGCTGATTATTGAAATATATTTCATAAACAACTACACACAGGGAGGAAAACCATAAACCACCATTATTCTGTGTTTTGAATTTGATAACT